CCACCAGGGGCGACCATTGTCGTGGGTCAGATAAAGCTCACATGCAGCCACCGAGATGATGCGAGTCCGCCCTCGATAGCGGGACATAAATCGAAGCGTAACAGCCCGGGTATTCTTCAACAGCCACGCGATCGCTGGTCCAGACAATCCATGACGATGAGAGCCTTTCGTGGTGACGATGCGCCACTCATTGAATTTGAAATGATTGTGGACCGCCGCCGACGTGTGTCGTGCGGTGTCGTGTTCATTTTGGTCTGTCTTGGCCCCCAGGCGAGCACGCAAAACTGTGGCGGGGTTGAAGCAAACAGGTGCATGTCGCCGCTATGGCATATGATGCAAGCGATCTGTAATCACCATCGCGTATGTTTCCGCTCTGCGGCACGGAGCGACTCTCCTGCCGGCGAAAGATCTGCTTGTCGCTGCCCCAACCCGGGACGCTAGCGGGCTAGCGTCGTTGCACTATTCAGCGATGCTGCCCCGCTCCAATTTTGTACAATTCACCGCAATGCACATCGAGCCCCGCTCGGAATGTAATGCCCTCGGTGTCGTCCCGCTTTGAGTGTGCCGTCGTTGACGAGGAACGGGAGTTTGCTTCCGCTACAGAGGCAGAGGGAGGCGGGTGGGGGGGCTTACGCCGTAGAGAAAACGTTGGCGTCGCAAGCAGGCGGCGTGAGTCGTGTCCATGGGGAGGTGTTCGAAGCAAAGATGGTGATGGCCGTTGTCTAGACCCCGCCATGCATTCGTTTGATCTCGAGTGACATGGAAGAACGCGATGGGTCGAAGCGATATATGTGTCCATGCGTCCGATGAATGACTCCCAAAACATTCGAGGACGATTACTCGGAGGGGTTCCTTGCCCCCCAAAGACTCTATCTTTACCCTCGACCTTTATAGGGATCTGTACCTCGGTGACGTGATGGGGCCCCATCCCCGCTGAACTCTTTCGACTCCGCCGCCACGCTTGGACCATTTCAACCCAATGCGTTGGTGGAACGAGAACGGGGGCGGGATCGTCGGGGCATCGTACACGCACCACATTCTCGTCATCGGTTCACGGCCGAGTTACGCGATGCTCCCCCTGTCGAAAGGGACAACAGGTCGACCAAGGGACATATCGCAAACGTATCCTCGAACGACTCGAATCTCCAAGAAGTACAGTCACGCACCGAGTTCGACATATCACCTGGATGAAAAGAGCGGCAGAAACGAATTAAGCGGCTGGTACAACCAAGTACACCGCGAGCCACCACCCCATCGTAGTTTCCATGACAGTCGCGACGGCATGCGGCGGAGACGGCACCCCTCGCCCATACTGCCACGTACCCCACTGCACGCGGTATGCCAAGGAATTCGCCATGTGCCTTTTCCATGCACGGGTCTCAGGCCCCGCCATCGCCACCCCTCCAATGCCTCCGTGCGCACCACCCATCAGCAACGTCTGCCACGCATCGACCGACTTCAGGTCGACAAGCCCGCAGCCACCTCCTGCGCCTCGCGCCCACAAATACCGCAGCAACGGGATGCAGTGTAAATTCCCCCAGTGCACGTCGTACGCTCGAACGCGGGGGTTTTGCACGCGTCACGGCGGGGGCCGCAAATGCCGTGTTGCAGACTGTTGGACGCCGTCGCAAACGGGAGGTCTGTGTCGACTACACGGCGGCGGATCGCGCTGCAAAGTCATGAACTGCGCCAACTTTTCAAGATCCCGAGGGCTCTGTGCAATTCACCTCAAAGAACACGATCGCGCCCAAGGCAATGGCCCGATAAGGGACCCTTCAGGCGGCGCTGGCCTGGTTGAGCTGTGAAATGTAACTAACATGCGATGCGAAGCTGGAGGCAGGAATTTCCGAGTGCACCGTCGCCACGACCCCCGCCCCTGTCGCACGCTACATACCTGCAGTTCCACTGTGCCGAGGGGGCCGGGGCGAGGGGTACAGTTGCGACGCCTTGCTCTATCGAGGTGGCTACACCCCACTACCGTGGCTACAACGGACCTGGACCACTCCACGCAGCCATGGCAAGCCCGTCATGAAAGAGCTGATGACCACCGACACACAACTTGCCAAGCTGCAATTCCCATAGGATGTCCTGGGGCTCCATCCACTTTACCCCCCAACGTATCGGCCTCATCCCTGCCACCCCATGTGCGGGTATTTGGTTTCGTCTCCCCCGCGCAACCCCTTCTCACGTACGCTTGGCAACCGCACGTTGCGGGAGTGTGTGGAATGTTGGCGAAATCTCGACCCCTCGACTGTGGGGCGAATCGAACGAAGTGGTGGGTTCGATACATCGCCAACTGACAGAATCGAGGGACCGCTGCGGCAACGCACGGCCTCTCCGATCTCGCACCTGGGACGGCGGCGAATACAAGTCGAACCCAACCAAAACGGCCCAACGACGTTTTAGTAAAGGCAAGGATCAAGTAGACATAGATGTGGGCAACGATACAAATCGGCGGCTACACGAGCCAGCAACACGGCGCGACTCATGTCGATTACGTGTGCTGGATAGCGAGGTTGTCGGCCTTGGTGCCGTGGGGATTCTTGGCGTACTCTTCGGGGTAGATTTCGTTCCAAGCTTGGTGCAAGTCTTCGTAGTCTTGCGGGTGCGAGTGGTGGAGCGAATGCGGGTCTTCCGCGAACAAGACAAACGTGGTCGCCACACTCGAGTGAATGACCGCCATCACGATGTAGCAGATGGAGAACCCGATGAGGAGCCCAGCCGTGCCGAGTGTCGCGGTGGGGTTTTCCAGGTTTTGGGTCCACAACTTGTTGTTGTATTGCTTGTCGTAGCTCACGGCGCCGTAGCCAGCGGCGGCCCCGCCAAGCCCGACAAAGATCGATCCGGCCAACAGGACGTTGTCGATGAGCGCGTCGTTTGCGATCGCCGACCAGCCCATCTTTTCAAACAACTCAAACGTTTCCTTGCCGGCGCGCAGGAAGCTAAACCCGTAGATGCCCACGTACGAGTACGCGTACTTGTTAAAGTACTGAACAAGGTTTGAGATGCACCCGACGATGCATTCAAGGCAGCCCAAGAGGCACACCGCGACCGCATTCTGGCTTTGCTTGGCCAGGTTGCGAAAGATTTCAATCACGGTCTTGATCGTTTCGATCACCGACACGATCAACGAGCCAAAGCAGATCGACCCGAACGAGAGCACGGCCGCGTTGAAGAGCGCGCGCATCGTCGTCATGGGGATCCGATTGTTGTCGGCGCGGTACCACCACGTCGCAACCGTCCCGGACACGGTCACATGCACGATGTTGCGCACGATGAACATGGTCCAGAAGAAGACGAGAAGCAGCGCGACGAAGATGCTGAACTTTTGCACGTTGTTGTACCCTTCGCCGTTGGCATGGATGTACTCGCCGTGGTTCATGGCGGCGTACGTTGCCACGGACCACACAAGCACCCACGCCCCGATAAGCAACGTGTTGAAGAACGCCACGAGCAGAATGACAGGGTACGTCAAGATGGCTCGACACGCAATTTGCAAGTTGGCGCTGGCGAACGCGATGCGCTTGCGAATACAGCACACGTACACAGTGACGAGAATCGCAAGGAGCGACCCGATGGTGGCCGGCAGCCAAAACCACGTGTCGTCGCCACTGTCCTTCATGAACTTGGACGCGACAAAGCCGGCGACGACAGAACCTGCAATCGCCACGCCGGCGCAGATCCAGATCAACCACGCACCAAGGCACAACATGATGCCGACCCACAGCATGGACAGAACAACCGAGCCGCCCGCGATCGACGCGCAAATGTTGAGCGCGTACTTGAACTTGTGCTGCTTTTGCAACAACGTGTCGCCGGCGTACGTCAAAACTTCACCGCCGTACATGGAGAAGAGCGCGATGACCACGCCAAACGCGATCAGGTACAAGATCACAAAGAAGATGTCATTGCAACGGCGTTCTTCTTTCAAATCGCACGTGTTGATGCACCCAGACGACCCTTGCTTGGTCAGCGGCGTCTGCTCGGACGGCATCTCTCGATCGAAGTCAATGTGGGGACTGACTGGTCCAATACCTTGACATGGGACAAATCCAGTTTTGCCCAACATGTCTCACCACGATGGTGACTCATTATGGCAAGTTGGGAATATTCGGGCTAGGAACAAGTTTGCGGCGCTCCAAGTGCACGGGACGGACCAGTCGAGCATCGCAAGACGCAGTAGTCTTGACTATCCATTGTCATGTCATATCGACAAGCAAAGATCCCTACGTTTTCAAAATCGTCTGTCGAACTTGATGGTGAGTTCAAGCGTCGTATTCACGTCAAGGGACAACGGGGTAACTGAACGGATTGAAGTCCGAGGGAGGTATTGTGTGGGTAGTTGTAGTACAGTACGACTAGTCTATATATCCCGTGCACGTTGTGAACAGAGTGATGGTGTGTGTTGTACTCTCATTATTTTTCTACCATTTCCAACATATAAATTGTATACTAGTATTCATTTTAAACAAATTCATTGGGATTAACTATCGGATCCTGGGAAGAACGGCCGGCGACGTCGGCCGGTTGTTCGAACCATCGGCATTCGCACGGACATGCTGGATGTTGGCGGCGATGCTGCCACCCCGCGACGTCGTGGGTGCTAGATCACACCAACTTGTTGCAATTTCGACTGCGCCACGGTGTCAATGTCGTGAGAGGTAGTGATGTGATTGGTTGCAAGAGCACTAGCAACTCAATTGTGCCTTGTGCCGCCCGTTGAGAAAACGAAGCACTTCTTGGCGCGCATATCGGTGTCCGTTTTCAGCAGCTTCGTACATCAAGCGCAGCGCACGGCCATAGTTTTCTGGGTTGGGTTGGTCCAGCAGCATATCGGCCACCATGTAAGTAGCGTACGAAAACTTTCCTTGGTTCATTGCGCGTTCGAAGAGAGCAAAAGCCAACTCATCACTGGCAGGTAGCGCAGGGGCAGCGGCGCCAGTGTAATGAAGGACTGCGAGTTCGTAGTCTGCTTGCGGGTGACCAAGTCGGCTGGCTCGTTGCAAGTACTCCACGCCACGGACATAGTCCTGGTCGACGCCAAAGCCTTCTACAAGGCACACACCGGCCGCCACGATGCCGTCCACGAAACCTTCGTCGGCCAGCAAGGCATACATTCGGAAGCCAGTTTCAGGGTCGATGGAGTTGAACACTAACAACGTGGCCAAGTCAAACCGGTTGCGGTGGCAGGCATCGTTGTCCTTGGAAGAGGACGATCCACAGAATGCGTTTGTGTTTGCCTCGAGCGATTTTCGTTCTGTCTCTGCAGGATGGTAAACCGGCCATACCCGTGACGGAAGCTTGCGCCAATTGTCCTCGTCCTTGATCCACCGCGCGCGCGTTTCAACTTCGTTGCTTCGAATCCGCATAAGTTCTTCATCCAATGTCGGATGCTTCTCCATGAAAGTGACAAATGAGCGTCCTGTGACCATGCCGGACGCCGCCACCGCCACGCGAAGGATTGCCCGACCTTCCATGTCGCTCACCGCAGCGTGTGGCGCCAAACAAATATGATTGATCGACCAATCCGTGATCGTCCGGATAATTATGCGGAAACCTCACACTATTTCCTTGAAGCACACTAGTTTTAGCGTCGCCGGTTACAAGGTGTCCGTGTGGAGCAGCCATGTCGAGCATACGGGGGCTGCTTCAACGCAAGCAAGAAGGCGCCGCCGCAATCGACGGCAGCAAAAACAACGAAGAAATGCTCGAAGGCTGCGACGAGTACGCTGCAAAGAGCCCTCCAACAGAGAAAAGGAAGATGGGTGGGTTTGGCTTTGGGTCGTTGGTTGCGCCAAAATTCATGACGGGCCTCAAGAATTTGAATCCACTTAAGAACCTGGGCAAGAAGAGTCCAACAAAGCCAGGGACAATGGCTCCGCCTGCGCCGCTCAAGCAAATCGCGTGGCTCTTTGGGCCCAAATATCGCCACGACCTATGGCGCGTGTGTCCATATCTGGCCCTTGCAGACATCGGCAAGCTAGCCCAAGTCAATGAAGCCACAAATGAACATTTGATCGCGTACTTTCGATCCCCGCAATGGATGGGCCACCACATTGTCTCGACGCGGTACGTGCGGCCGATGTTCGCCGTCATTTTCGTACCATGCATGATACGCCAGGTACCTCGTATTTCAAACTCTGCTGCGGGACCACAAGTTGTCTCGGAATCGACTGCCAGGAGACTACGACTTTCCGTCGCTCATTCTGGCATATCTTCCGCTGAAAGACCAAGTCCGCTTGACCGAAACGTGCCACCGCATGGTCGAAATCTACGCGGCAGCATGTGACTTGCACCTGTGCGGGCGGCGCCAAATCGCCGCGTTTCTTCGGAGCTACGACGTCGAAAGCAAGGCATTTTGGACGGTTCGCGCCCGATACAGTCGCATTCGACGTCTCAGTTGTGGTGCGAACGAGAATGTTGACGGGACTGGGCGTTGTTTACGGACGAATATCTAGCACACATGACGTCGACGCAGCTCGTCCTGGTCACGTGGCTCGTCCTTCACGATTGCTTTCCCAAGCTCCAGTCGATTTCGTTTTCCTACGTCACGCTGGAAGGTGCGTCTGCTGAAGATCTCGCAGCCAGCTTGGCAACGATGCTCGAGCACTTGGGTGGTCGGCTCGAGTCGCTGGAATTGAGAGGTGCGTGGAGGCTGCTTCACACGGCTGTGATCGCGGATCTTGAAGCCGTGTGCAATGTGTGTGTTGGGTGGCGGTAGGCTTCCCGTGGTCTGAATCTGCCTACGCCGTGCTCATCCATGCCCTCTACATCCACCCCCTTCCAAGCATCCATCACTTGAGCCTAGCAGGTACTCTCCCAGCCAACACCAGTCCTTGAATGAGTTGATTGGGACCATCGTAGACACCCCCCTCCAGCACATCACACTGTTTCGCATGGCGCCCAACTTTCGTCGACGCCAATTTGCCGCACTGATGTCGCTGGATATTCAAAGTAGCGATCGAAAACCATATCCCATTGCTCGACAAATCTCACGCACGTGTTAGACACTGGGCTGACAAGTGCCAGCTTTCCCGCCGTGCTGCACGTCCTTGCGCACGTGCCCCACTTGACGTCCTTGAACATCTCACGCAACGAGTTGGGGATCCAGGCGTGGAAGGACCTGGCCGCACATATGCTTGCCGCAGCGCCGCATACGAACGTATTCCATACACTGGAGGCGTTCGACTGCAGTGGTGCGATCCCTCCCCCGTTGTGTATCATTGCCAGAATCCGGCGGATATCCTCACCACTATATATCGTCGCACAGGGTGCAGTTTCAACATTGAGGGGATGGTGGTCTTCATGGAGGCTCTGTGGCAGTGTCCGTGCTCGTCTTTGACTCATCTGAACGTGTCAGGTGCCGTGCTCTCACGACTCGATCTGTCCGAGTGAATCCCTAACGACGACGATGTAGGGAATGTCATGTCGAAAGAGGCTGCTGTGGGCCTCAGCCGCGCCTTCGTGCATGAAACAGTGCCGTCCTTGAGCCATTTGAACCTCGCATGTACGACGCCACAACGGAGCGCCACTGACCTGACAGCGTTTCCGACGTCTGTAGCAACGTCTATGACAAGCGAGTGTGTCCAAGTGTGGAGTGGTGGGTTGACAGGTCGACTTTTCCACCACACGAGCGCCCAAAAGCACCACGACATGCCTGGCCAGTCGCTTGTGTCGTTGAATGTGGCTGGTGGGGATGATGCCTCGTACCACAACATGGCGGTGGCAGGGATACCAAATGCATGACCGACTAGGCAACTCCATCGGCAAGGGACTCGAATTCCTGCTTGGGGCCATGAAAGCTCGCGCGTTGACATCGCTCGGCACGTTCGTGCTCGCCAGTACGTCTGCATGTGCCTCGATCCATCCGAACAGCACCGTCGTCTTTAGACACCCACCTTGGCATGAGCGAGTTTGACTTATTGACCAAAACGTTCCAAGACGACTGTTGCCCGAGCTTGACAGTGCTGGACTTGTCAGGTCGGTCCTTGTTGCACATGTTGGCATCGACGCATGAAATCCACTGCGACTTCGTCTCCTTCGTGTGCAGATAACCAAGCCAAAGGCGAAGGGCTCACGCGGTTTTGCTCGTTTTTCCACACGCCCGCCGCTTCGCGCTTGCAGCACTTGGATCTGAGCCGTACGTTGCGACACGTGGTGGCGCCACGTGTCATTCATGTGGCGGCTCTAGATAATCTTCTCGACACGTACTGCCTCCTTCGCTTGTCGGAAACCCTGCGGCAAAGCCACTGCGCGAGGCTTTGCACTCTCAACGTGGCGCACAATTTGAAGGTCGGGTTCCAAACGCTGTATCATTTCAACGAGGTGCGCCGCGGTCACCAAACGGCTCTGACCTGTCGGGAACTAGACGGTGCGATCAGGAGCCTGTCCATCGCTCCGTTGTTTGCAAATTGGCGGTACACGTTGGTCGCAACGTGCTGCAATTTGTGACTGTTTGGTCCTAGATGCCGTCACGACGGAAGCAGGGCATGAAATGGTGCAGCGCTTGACGAAAACGGCGTCGGCATCCAACGTGGTATGTGCGAACGAGCGATCCATTTGCTGTCGTCATGCTTGGCGCATTCATGATCACGACAGGCGATGCGGCGGGATCAAATGCGCGACGAGAAGCGGTTGGCGTTTACGAGACAGAGCGAACTGGACGCCATCCAGACGGACCTTCGAACCAAAACGAAGTGCGCGATTCGAAGGGAGCTGTACGACCGTCTCGAAGCCGATGCCGCCAGTGCCAACACTCGCGTCCACCCCGTGAAAAAGATCAAGCACGTCAAGCTGGCTATTCACCGCAAGATCCAACAAGCCATTCTCGACACTAGTTAGGGCGCTTAGGACAACATGAGGCAGCGACACGTGCCATGCGACGACAGCTAGCGAGACATCGCTTTTGTGCGGTACGTGGTTAGCCACGTGCGGTAAGCATCGAGGAGGACGGTGGTCGTGGCGTCTTGCGTGGAGGCTGAGCGGAACGAATCCCCGCCGCCAAGGGTGGCCTTTGTTGCAGGATCTCGGGTACAGCACAGCGACACAGCAGATCGAAAGTGCGGTTGAGCCCACAGCTTCTGGGCCATCGACGGCTCCCCTGCACATTCCACTGCAGTCACAAACACTTCTGCGTCCGTCGCGTTGTCAAAGGCACCGCCACTACCGATGACGTTTCTCCACTGCGACGCGTTGTCAGGATCGTAGCCTGGACATAGCACGCGCATCCTGAGGTTGGCGATCTGCTGCTGCTCCTGTGCGGGCGAGGCGATGGAAGTTTTTCTTGCCAGTGCAGGCGTCATCTTCTTGAGTTTCGCGGTGGCTGGCGGTGTTTTTGAACGCATCCGTGCATCGTCGCAGGGGTTCGCTGCTGTAGACGGCCGACCAGGCAGTCCTCGGACCTCTCGGGGCGGAAACAGCGTTTGCATTAGCGTCTGAACAAAGAGCTGTGCGACGACTTTGGCTTTGTCATGCGTGCACTGGACCCTTCGCTCCAGCAGCAACTTCTCGCGACTCGTGAGCGTATGTGGTGGTTTGCAGCCGACCTATAAATCAGAGGATGACTGCCACGTGAACGTCGAAACGATGTGAAGCATACGTTGTAAGTCGTGGCGAGGTGGTTGTCGGCGAGCTTATTGTTGCGAGTGCACCACATGGGCTTGTACGCTACAGCAAGCCCCCTCTTTCGTTCTGCCTCGGCCTCCAACTGCGATCGACAAAGCTCATGCAGCAGTTCGTTGGCCACGTCGAACGAAATCGTCTTGTCCCGCACACGGGCCATGCGGAACGCATCGAGCGAGATGCTTTCCTGGATGTTGGTCAAGCTCGACAACCGCGTGTGCAGTTTGCGGAGGTTGGGTCGGCGTCGTAGCAGCTTCTTACCTTCATGCAGCTCGAGTTCGTCAACGACTTGTTGCTTGGAAAACAGATCCAGTTCGAGAATCCCGTCGTTCGCACTCTGCCGTCTTAGACGGGTGAACACCGATCGCAGCAGCAACGAATCGTACACGACGGCATCTTCGGGACTGCGCCACTCGGCATCATCGACCTGCATGCGCATGAATCCCTTGAGTGAAACCGTTGCAGCCGCAGTGGCAGTTTCACGCGTAACCGCCTCCCTCACGTTGAGACGATCCCGTTGCTGGAAATGCGAGGCGCGTGGGGGAAGGCATCGTGTTGGTAGCTTTGCTTTATGCAGTTTTCACCGCATGGCTGGCGCCGAGTGTCTAGAGCTACATCGCGTGGTGTAGTGTAGGGGGTATTTGTTCTGCCCATGTCATCCCGAGCCCGTATTCTGGGTACAACGCAGAGGGACACCGGAAAGCTAGAATCTCATCCAAGCCGCACGATGTCATGCCGCTTACATTGCCTGCTGGATATGGGGATGTTGGAAGATCCTACTCTATCCGACGCAGGCGTCCACGCGGCGGCAACACACGAAGGAAGGTTCGTGGTCTATTTCTGGATCGTAAAAATTGAGCGCAGGACACGCAGGTCCACATGGCGCCACCAAAACGGGCAACTCGAAGGCCCGTGGTGACCCGCGCGCCGCTGGCGTCGACGCAAATCGTTCCGTACACGGGCTCATTCACATGCAACTCGGTCGCGTTCATCGGTCGCGTCTGTCGTCCATCCAAACCGTGTGCTCAATCGTACGAGTAGACAAGCCCGACTTGGAATTTGGCGACAAAGTCATCCTCCCCCCGGTGCGTGTGCTTGTTTCGCCCAACCGGGTTTCCAACAACAGAATGCATGGCCGGTAGAATGTGCTGGTGGAGATCCAACGGCTCAAAATCCCATTGCCCCTCTTGTTCAAAGTACGACTCTGTGCGCCATGGACTGCGTGACGATCGTGAGCATGTAGTTGACATCGTCGCACGCGTCATCATCCGAGTGCTGTCAATACTGCGGCGTGATGGAATTCAGCGCTCCCGTTGGACAAGTAAAACCCCACAATATTCTCCCGAACGAGTTGGCCTGAACGAGCCACGTTAAGATGTATGCCCCGTACTGGATGATGCAGCAACTGGGCGTCGATGAAGGGGCCAACGTCCACTTGGAAAGCGCGCTCTCTGTAAGCAGCATATTCGTCCGAGGGCACGTGCTTGTACTTGACAGCAGGCGCAGATCCCCCGAGGCTTGTACTGTCAGCTCCAACCCAATCGACTCGAGATCCTCGACATCGCGGCGTCGATTGGGCCCAAGGTATGCCATCATCGTCGGCACCAGACCGACATCTTCGTGATCGATCGTATCGTGGACGGTAGATCCTGCTCGAGTCTGCCATGCGGCGGTATTCGTGCTTGGGTGTGGGCGGAACGATCATGATTGAATATGGAGATGAAAGGTAGGGGGACAGTATCGCATGACGGGGCCTTACGACGTTCAACATGGTCAAGGTTCTTCCTCAAGCTTGTCCAAGTCAAACCAGGTCCGGTGGTGCACTTGTTTGGCGATGTCGATCTCGAAGTCGACTTCAAAGTCCCAGACGTAACGCAGCCTTGAGCGATAGCATGCGCGTTTGCTCACGCGCTGGATGGGCGTAGAGCACCGACCCCCGTCGTCCCGATTCGGCCCTTCATCGAGACACATCCACAGACACGTACGGAGCTCATGCACCACTCACGCAAGCGGCAGCACCTCCGCACGCTGCAGATACCTCTGCGAGGTTGGAGCAGCTCATGCCGCTGGAAGTTGACATGGGTTGATGCTAGTGCTGTCTCGTCGTATGGCCGACGATTAGCCGACGGTGGGTACGTGCCGTCGACGGTGCCGCAGAGCTGGTCGCCCCCCATCGCCCCTCTAAAAAGAGTCGGGGCAGCAGTCGACACATCCATGTCATTGAAACATGCCCAAACCAAAGCGAAGAAACAAACCGAGGGTCTCGACCCGCTCAAATTCAAAGCCATGAAAGCATTCTCAACTGTTGGGTATACTTTGACGGCATCACCAGCCCCAGCTGAACAGGCCGTGCCGTGCACCACTGCCCCCGACGCACCAAAGACGGAAAGTCATGACGATGCTGCGAGACCCAACCCCCCCACAGGACCCCCCGTGGGACATGCTGCCCCCAACGAAGCGATATCGTGCCCATGCTGCCTTGCCGATCTCCCGCCCGCAAATGCAGACCTCCACATGTTGCGGTGCAAACAGCACACGGCATACCATCGAGTACGACGTCCTGACCACCCACTCGATGCGGTGAACTCTTCGACGCAACTAGTTTGTCTGCGGCACATGCCACGAACGAGTCCTCCGAACGCACGCACATGACCACGTACATTGCGCCAGCGTACGCCGCAAACATCATCAACCTGCATCACGCGCCCTAAAACTCATGAGAAACGGTGGTGTTTGCAGTGCCATTTTATCGGGTCGAGTGCCGCCGTGGCTGCGCACACTGCCGAGATCCATGCCCCCGTGAAATGTACTTGCGGCGCATCGTTCCCTGCTGACGCCATGGCCGTCCACAAAGGATCAACTTGCCCCCATGCGATCGTCCAGGTGCGCTCTCCCTGTTGGGAAGAGCCTGCCATGACTCTCCCGTGGCAGTGTGGACTCTGTTTCCTGTCCTTTCAACACCAAAAGTTCGCCGCGCACTACTCCGTCTGCTCCAACCGCACCCAGCAATGCGAGGTAGGTGAACTTTGGCCACAGCATCGCTCACCCCCCGTGCGCTGGAAGGTCTGTAACAAGTACGTAAACGTCGTGTCGTTTAACCAGCACAGCGACGAGTGCGTGCGCATTCTCCCTGCTGTCTCGACTGCCCCTCCTGCAAAGGCGACCCGAGCAGCGATCAAATCCACTGCGTCCGACGTCGTTGCGCCTCTGGAGTCACCGACCTTCCATGGCGACGACGGTACCACTGCCGAAACGTTCTCGTGTCCGTACTGCGGCGACGCTGCCTTCGCCAACATCTTTGCGTTGGACCGCCACACGGAATCACGATGCCCCATTGCCAAGTACGTTGTGACATGCCGTTTGCTAACGTGGTCGGTCGCGCGGCATTGACATCGCGCGGCATTCCAGGAACTTCCACGCGACCAACGACGCCCCGATCCTTCGCGGGAAGCTGCGCCGAAAGACTGACTTGGACAAATCGTCCTCGTCGGCGCGATCCATTAGCCATGGAGGGGCTCTTGCGATGGCTGGCGAGCGAATCGTCCAGCCGACGAAACCTGCCAAAAAAGCAACGGCGTCGCCGCCTCCACAAAACAATCAGCACGTTCTGTTGGGACCATCGGATGCAAAATCGAAGCGGAACAGCTCCATCGAGTCGCTTGTACAAGGCAATGCCATGGGGCTCAGCACGTCCAAAGCCGCGCGGCACAAACAAGTCGAGTCGCTTCTGGGGAGACCCGCGGCGTCGTCCCTACAGAAGAGATAGCAAGCAGATCGAACGTCCTATAAAGTTTTGACGCTAGAACGCATCGACCACCACGTCGTCGTTGCTGAGCTCACGGCATATCGTCGGTTTGAAAGTGGCCGAGCTCGGTGTCATCCGCACGTCTGGATGTTTTGTGGGGTTTCGGGGAGAGCCATGGGGGATGATGGATGGTTGTGTTTGGAGCGATCGATACATTCCATTGACGCCACACCCAGTTCCAGCACCTACTCCAATGTAAACTCGGTTGTTTCGAGGTTGACGAGGGCGAGCACAGCTTCCTTTAACAGCTCCCGAGTCGGGTAAATTGGCAAATCGATGCGGTTGAAGCACGAGTGCGCTTTGGGAAAGATGCCGCGGGAGTACGGCACCGCTTTGAGTGAGAACGGACAGAGCTTGCCGTCGTACGACGTCAGGCCTTTGAAGCCCTGGAGCGGCACCCGCGATGACCCGGTCGCAAACCGGAGCAACTTTGCTCGATCGGCATCACTCAGTTCGTGCTCGACAATGTCCCAGAACCACTTGATGCACTTGGACGTTTTCAACGCGACGCTAACACTTGTGGACGCCCGCCAGTCGGCCACGTCAATGTGCGAGTGCCCGCACACGAGAAGCTCGAGCTCTTTGTGGTCGAATGGCATGAGCAGCTCCGCCGGCACGACCTAGACGTGACATGTCCGTTCGATATGAGGTGGGGTGCAGCCCACTCGGCAGCTATCCCAGCATCGCCTGACGGCGACGAAATGAATGCGATTTTCATACCTCGTACAGCCCACGCACGAGCGCCGTCAACTGTGGCTGGATCCGGTCGAAGAGCAAGTACGACACCATGCGCTCGACATATTCATCCTGGTTTTCTCTCGTGACGGGAATGTTGCGGCCATTCGGGACCAAGTCGACGACGTCGTGGGATTTGTCTAGCGTCACGCTGAAGTCGAGCGCGAGGTCGGCGACGTTGTCGGTTTGGCGAATATACACGAGGCTGTTGTACGTGTTCAAGTCTAGGTGCCACACGTCTTCGAACGCGAGGGGCGACCCAAGGAGAGCCTTGAAGAGTGGCGTGCACAAGTGGAACGGGAGCACTTGGCCGTCGACGATGGCGCTGCCGAGCATGCGACCGATCGCCTGGAACCGACGGAGGTGGTCGGGGCCGTGGTCCACCCCGGACGAAGGGTTGATAAAGTACGCTTGCTCGGCCTTGTTGGCCGGGATAAACAGCCCTCGCTCGGGCTCAAACAACGACAACGTCAGCAACGAGTACCATTCACGGAGGACGCCGCCCGCGTCGATGCCGCTCTCGCCAAGCAGTTCGATCCGCGTCATCGCGCAAAGATGGTCGGGCCGCAGGAGCATGAGGATCTCCAAGGACTCGTCAAAAATTTTGTCGCGGTAAACTTGCATCTTGGAGTAGTTTTTATACCCGTGAGCGATTTGAGTGAGCAGCCACGCATACTTGAGCGAAAAGCTCTGCGCGGTCAGATCATCCAGTTGCGATAGCCACCACGACGGCAGGACAGTGCCAGAGATGGCCACACCTGCCCCAGAGTGGGCCGTCAGGCGCTCCAAATGCAACAAGTTGCTGTCGTCGTTGGTGGTTGGCGAGGTCGCGTTGGTGGCGGTCGGCCGAATCAAGTAATGGGGGCCATTGTGTACGGGATTTGACGCTTGCTGCCAGTAAATGTTTCCATCGAGCGGGTCGACGCGGCGCTGCCACTGTTTCCTGGCTCTGGGGACAGCACAAGTCGAGTCACCGTCACTGACATGACTCGGACGGCTGTACCTGGCACACTTTTGTTTTGTATTCATATCCACGAGCGCTACTTCGGTTCCTGCATCAAGATGGCGTGACCACGCAGCCTTGGAGATTTGTCGCACGCATCCAAGCATGGACATCGAGACGAGAGAAGAGCACCATCTCAATGCATGCCTACCGCGTTTGGTGTCGCAGAGACCGCAGCAGTCGCGATCTTCAGGGTTGTGAAACAAGCAAATGGCGCATTGCCACTTGAGTGCTTCGAGGGCTCTACATAAAAGTCGTCGTCGGAAATGCCGATCGAGATGAGATCGATTCATGCCGTACATGTCTTCCATGTCTTCTCTCCGCAGGCCATGCAAGTATTGGAGCGGGCTACCAAAGTTGTCACGGATATTTTGAAAGCTCATGCGTGCATCGACCGTACTCTTCGTGACCTGCCAGGCGGTCGTAGTGACGCCACTTGGTGAAGTACATGGTTGCTGCTCCTGCCAAGACCAACACTGCCACGACCAAGTCCACGGTCACTGTATCAGCATCAGCCACCAAACGCGCCCCTCCTCCTCGAAAAAATGACGTACGTAAATCCATGCGGGCTTTGTCAAGCACCCTTGTGCGTGCTACGTCCCCGGAGTTTGGACCTTCCAAGTCGTTTGGCGATGGAATTGTCGCGGATGGTGCGGCTGTGGCAGACCGCTGCTTCTCAAGCAATCGAAGACGATAGTCGTATGGTGCATGACGCTGCTTCTTGCTTCTCCATACCGTCGGTGCCTTGCCGTAATTCGACGAGCCAACTCCTGCAATTCCTGCCACGTTCTCGGTGGTTGATGGTAATGCGAGCGGTGAGATCACGGGACGAGCTGATTGAACTTGACGAGGAACTTGATCAATGGTGTTCGTTGTTCCTTGATTCGAAGATGCCCAGCTACACAGCGCCGCCGTCGCCGCGACAACCCATGTCGGATGGAATACCCGCATCAATCTGCGACTTTGCCAGAGTCAGCACA